GCAACACTGAACACTCCAATTTATTTTATTTCTTTAAGAAAATATTAGATATTAATACTTTTTCTGAAACAATTCATTTGTAGCAATTGCTTACCTTGTCTTCTGTAAAATGGTAAGGTCCTGACTGTGAGAACTCTCCCTGATCTAAGTTTTAGTGACTAAGGCTTTCTTTGGCTTATTCTAAAAAACCAAAAATTGTGAGAATTTGTGCTGAATTTTATGTTGGGCTATGGAAAGAAATTTTAATTTTCCATTTTTTTATAGAAATAGAATGTCTTTAGCTTTGTTGACTCTCTTTAACCTACAATATTCTTACTCTCAAAGACCCTCCAGATCTTTTAGCATCTAAAAACATCACTTCAAATCAGGCTTCTGGAGACCTCCTCTCAAAAGTGATTTCTTTTGTTCTATAGTACAGAGGAAAGCTTTATTTGCAGCATCTATATTCCTTGTGACAAATATAATAATAAAGGGACACAACTATCTGTCTTCCCTGAGTACCTGCTTAACTCAAGAATATAAGTTTGAGAAGTCTCTGTCACATGACCTTTATTACATAAGGTGAAACATAATTACAGTAATTAAGTAATAAATACTAAAATGATTCAAAGTGTCCCTTTAGCTATAAGCTAATAAGCACTCTGCTATGGTTCAGATAAGTGTCCCCCAAAGGCTCAGGAATTGAAGGCCTGGTCTTCAGCCTGTGGCACTATTGGGGGTCAAGGAATCTTTAGGAGGTGGAGCCTAGTGGAAGGAAGTTATATCACTGGTGTCTGCCCTGAAAGTGGTATTGGATCCTGCCCTCCACCCCTCCCCACTTGCTTCCTGGCCACCATGAGGTCAACATGTCCACCATGCACTTCCACTATGATGTACTGTGCCTGCATGGGCCTAAACCAGTAGGGATACATGACCATGGACTGAAATGGCTAAAACCATCAGTGAAAATTATAAATTGTTTCTCTTGGGTATTTTATCATTGTAGTAGAAAGGTGACTACACAGAGTCATTCTATCATTTATTATGGCTCATAGAAAATCGAGCTAGACAAAACTTGCTGATATGTCAAATTAGTAGTGCCATTTAGTCCAACCGTCTCTCCTAAACAGCCATCTCCTACCCCCAATTTCCTCCAAAGCCAGTTCACACTCAGTTCATTCTACATGTGCCATAAAATTAGAGGTAGGTCGTCTCTATCTTACAACAGTATCACATTTGCTCCAGTTGCTGTCTCCAGATTACTATTTACAGCAACCACTATCTTGAAACAAGTAATAACATTTTTTTAGCTTTATTTTATTCATTTATTTTATGTGGTGCTGAGGTTTGAACCCAGGGCCTCATACCTGCGAGACAAGTGCTCTACCACTGAGCCACAACCCAACCCCAAGTAGTAACATTTTGTACCGAAATTATTTAAGTTGTTCAGTTGTAAAATCTTTGCTAAGGTGAAATCATCAAGCAGAAACTTTCCATGAGATTTCTGTTAAAAGGAATTAACAAGAGCTGGGGTTGTGGCTTAGTGGTAGTGTGCTTGCCTAGCCTGTGTGAGTCACTGGGTTTGATTCTGAGCACTGCATGTAAATAGATTAATAAAATAAAGGTCCATTGATGTATTAAAACTTTAAAAAATGAATTAACAACTTCTCAACAGTGTCAAAAAATAGCACTCAAAAATATAACCATTTTGTTCATAATTAGTAAACTTTATTTTAGGTTCACAGAAAAATTGTACAGAAAGTATAGAGTTCCCATCTAACTCTCTGTGCCACACATGCATAGCTTCCTTCATTATTGACACCTCCACCAGAATGGTACATTGGCTACAAGGGATGAATACACATTGACATATTGGTATCACCCAAAGTCCAGAGTTTATATGAGAACATATTCTTGGAATTGTATAGTCTATGGATTTAGACACACGTAAAATGGCATGTACCCACCATTGTCATGAGATACAAAAGAGTTTCATGGCCCTAAAAATCCTCTGTGCTCTACATATTTATTGCTTCCTTCTCCCTAAACCCTGGAAACTATTGATGTTTACTGTATTCATAGTTTTTCACTCTCCAGAATGGAATGATAAAGTACACAGCCATTTTAGATCGGCTTATTTCGTTAGTAATATGCACTTAAGTTTCCCCCATGTCTTTTCAAGGTTTGATGCCTCATGGCTTTTGGGCATGTAATAATATTTCATTGTTTACAGGAATCACAGTTTACTTATTCACTAATCCACAGTGGGACATCTGAGTTGCTTCCAAGTTTTGGCTATTATAAGTGAACTGCTATAAACATCCATGTGCAAGTTTGTGTAGACATAAGTTTTTAATTCAATTGGGTAAATATACTAAGGCACACAGTTGGTGGATCATATGTTAAGAATATGCATATTTTATAAGTAACTGCCAAATTGTCATCCTCAATGGCATTTTACATTCCCACAAACAATGAATGAGAGTTGCTGCTGCTCCATATTCTCACCAACATTTGGTGTTGCCAGTGTTTTAGATTTTGGCCATTTTAATAGGTATGTAGTAGCATCTTGTTCTGATTTGCAAATTTCAAGTGATATATAATGTTGAACATTTTTCACATGGTTATTTGCCATGTGTATATCCTCTTTGGGATTTTTGCACATTTTTATAGAAGGTTAAAATTTGTGAAGAGTATGAGATCTGTTTCTACGTTCCTTTTTTTTCTATTTTTTTTTGCATGTAGATATCTAATTGTTTCAATATTATTGATAAGACTGTTCATTCCATTGTATTGCTTTTGCTCCTTTGTTAAAAATTAGTTGAGTCTATGTGGATCTATTTTTGAGATTTCTATTCCATTCTATCGTTACATTTGTATATCATCTATTATTTTGCCAATATCACACTGTGCTGATTGTTGTAGATTTATATAAATATTGAAGTCAGGTAGTGTCAATCTTTCAACTTTGTTCTTTTTGTTCTTCCCCTTCAATACTGCATTAGTTATTCTGGGACTTTTGCATCCTCATATAAACTTCTATATCATTTTTTGCTGATATCCACAAAATAACTTGCTAGAGTTTTGATTGTGACTGTATTTTGTACCCTTTTTCTGTCTCTGTCTCTTTCTCCCTCTGCCCCCTCCTCTCTCTTGTTTTTTTTGTTCCTCGTGGTACTGGAATTTTTTTTTTTTTTTTTTTTTTACTTTTTAAAAAATATTTGTTTTTTAGTTTTAGGTGGACACAATATCTTTATTTTATTTGTATGTGGTACTGAGGATTGAACCCAGTGCCTCATGCATGCTAGGCGAGCACTCTACCACTGAGTCACAACCCAAACCCCAGCACACACACACAAAAAAAGAAGGGCCTAGCACATGCTGAGTGAGCACTCTACCACAGAGCTACATCCCCAGATCAAGTTAGGAAGAACTGACATCTTGACAAAACTGAATCTTTCGATCATAAACCTGCAATATTTCTCCATCTATTTAGTGCCTCTTTGATATCTTTAATCAGTTTTATATGTACATATCTTGCACATATTTTGTTAGATTCACACCTAAGTATTTCATTTTGGGAATACTAACGTAAATAGCAATGTGTTTTTAATTTCATTTGTTCTTTGCTAGTATGTAGAAAAATTATTGACTTCTGCAGTTAAACTTGTATCCTGAAATCTTGCTATAATTGCTTATTAGTTAAAGGAATGTGTTGATACTTTGTTGCGATGCCAAATATGTTAAGGATTGCTGCTTTCTTGTAGTATTGACCTCCTTTGTGTAATGCCATTCTTATCCCTGATCACTCTCCTTGCTCTGAAGTCTGCTGTGTCTGAAATTAGCATAGCTACCCCTCTCTCCTTTTATTACAGTTGGCATGGTATTTCTTTTTCCATCTCTTTACTTTTAATGTATATGTGTATCTTTTATCAAAAGTGGGTTTCTTATAGACAACATATAGTTGAGTTTTGATTTTAAATATCCTCTAACAATCTCTTACCTTTTAACTGGTATATGTCTTAAGACATTTTACAGCTGTTAAAAAATACCCAAGAAGTAGGTAATTTACAAACCACATAAATTTGTTTCTCACAGTCTGGTGGCTAGAAAATCCAAGATCAAGACATTGGCTGGGCACAGTAATGCATGCGTTTAATGCCAGCAGCTCAGGAGGTGGAGGCAGGAGGATAGTGAGTTCAGAGCCAGCCTCAACCACTCAGTGAGAGCCTGTCTCTAAATAAAATATTTTTACAAAGGGCTGGGGACATGGCTCAGTGGTTAAATAAAAAAGATCAAGACATTGGCATTGGCAGATTTGGTGTCTAATGGGGACATGTTTTCTCATTCGTGGCTCTTCTTACTATAACCTCACAGTGTGGAAGAGGCAAGATAGCTCTCTGAGGTTTCTTATAAAGGTGCTCATGTCATTCATGAGGGCTCCACCATCATGATATAATGACCACCCAAAGGCTCTATCTCCTACTACTATCACCTTTAGGGTTAGGATTCCAACATATGAATCTGGGGGATGGGCTTAAGCATTCAGCACACTTCGCTGTATTTAGATCATTGATGTTTAAGGAAATTATTGACACAGTTGAGTTAATATCTACCAAATTTGTTACTGTTTAATATCTGTTGCTTTTGGTTTTTGTTCCTATTTTTCTTTTTAATACCAATAATTGAACCCAGGGATGCATTACCACTAAGCTACATTCCTATAGTCTCATTAAGTTGCTTAGGGCCTCCCTAAATTGCTGAAGCAAGCCTCAAACTTGGGATCCTCCTGCCTCAGCTTCCTGAGTCGCTGGGATTACAGATGTGTGTCACCACGTTTGAATGGTCCCTATTTATTTTCCACACGTTTGTGACTTTTATGAGTTTAATTGAGCATTTTTATTTTCTCTCCTTTTTTAGTATATCAATTATACTTCTTCTATACTTTTAAAAATCAATTTCCTGAGCTAGGGACATAGCTCAGTGGCACAGTGCTTGCCACTTACATATAAGCATGCATGTATACACATATGTGTATTTATTTGAATACACTTGCTATTATTATTTTGAAAAAACATACATCAGATCAATTAATTGTTTTACATTTACTCTCTGTTGTTCTTCTCTTCTTTATTTAAGTTTTAGTTTCCAACACATTATTTTCCTTCTCTCTGAAGAACTTCAGAAAATTTCTTGCTGAGCAGGCCCACTGTTCACAAACTCAATTTTTGTTTGAGAAATTATTTCTTTTCACGTTTGAAGGATACTTTTGCAGGATACAGAATTATTATAGTTTGTAGGGGTTTTTTTCTCAACACTTTAAATATTTCTTTCCATTCTATTTTGTTTGCATGGTTTCTGAGGATAAGTTGAATACAATTCTTATCTTTTCTATAGGCATCATCTCTCTAGCACCTCTCCAGGGAAGCTTCCTCCCCACCCCATCTTGTGGCTTCATTCAAGACTTTTTCTACCTTTGTTTTCCGGAGGATTGAATATGCTATGGCTAGTTATAGAGTTTTGGGCATTTATCCTATTTTGTGGTTCCTGAGCTTCTTGAATTTGTGGTTTGGTAACTTGTATTAATTTAGGGAAATTCTCAATTGTATTTTTTTCCACATTTTTTTCTTCTCCTTCTTATATTCCACTACACATATGCTGTAACTTTTATAATTATACCACTGTTCTTGAATATTCTGCTTTGCTTTTTCCCCCAGTCTTTTTTCTCTTTGCTTTTCAATTTTGGTAGTTAATATTAAGATAACCTCAAATTCATAGATTCCTTCTTCAGTCAAGTCCAGGCCACGAAAGTGCCCACCAAAGGTGTTTTTGGGTTTTGTTCTAGTTTTTTTTTTTTTTTTTAATTTCCAATATTTCTTCTTGAATTTTTCTTAGATTTTCCATCTTCCTACTTACATTGCCCAACTAATCTAGCATGCTATATTTTCCATAAGTCTTTAGCATATTAATAATACTTTTCAATATACTCTGTGAGGATTGGGATGACTTCTGTAGGTGAAACTCACAAGTGTGTCTCTGCCATCCTCATATGACTGGAGTTTTTAACTCTTAGATTTGTCCACATTGAGCCTCCAGCAATTTGTCAATTACAGTTCAGGTTTTCCTACTCCTGCACTGGGTCCCTCTGGGGGTTCTGTCCACAAGTTTCTGCTACTGTGAGCTGTGTTATCCTATATCTACCTGTCAATATCTCTGTTTTGGGAGTAGAGATTTGTCCTTCGACCTCCCTTCTGTGACAGAGCAAAGGATTACTGTTGACTTCAGCTGGTTCAGCATTTTGCTTGTTAGACTAGTGTGCCAATTCTGCTTCTTTTAAGCATCATGCAGCCCTCTAAACTAGAGATAATGGAACATCTAATGATAAAGGGGAAAACACATCAGCAATTTTGTGTCAGAATATTGTCCCTGAAAAAGTAACTGTTTCTTCTACTGTCTAGAAAAGATGGGTCTCAGTGCACGATTCAATGCAAAGGATTTGACTCAAAAGGAAGAAATAAAAGGCCTAGAACACCATGACAGCCAGCTTTCAGGGTTGCCCCTGAACCTCAGCAGGGGATCACATAAGGGGAGTGACCCATACCTTACTGAAAATAAGGCTATACATACTCATAGGACAAAATTTCAAGCATATAACAGGGCAAACAATTGAAAAATAAGTCTCCTTCCAACCCTTGACCCCTACCATACTAGCTCTCTCTTAAGGCAATATGGTAACCACATTCTTATGTCTCCTTAAAATACATCTTTAGAGGAGTGGTTGAGTGTACATACCTTTAAATGGCAACCTATTTTAGAAGCATATATTCTCCTGGAAGTTTAGGATTGGAAGGGACATATTTCAGTCATTCATTCATTCACAGCCTCCCTAGGCACTTCCCATTCCTGTGTAAAAATATTTCTGAAGATGAAGAAACACTTTATACTCTAAGGTAAGCTCATTCCCACACATACCACATACAGGCATACAAGCATGCACACACACACTTAAATTCTGAATTCTGCTCCTCTGACTTTTTTCCTCATCAATCTTTGCTTTGACTTCTAAGGCGGGGGAACAACAGGTGGTCAAATGCCTTTTGTCTCAGATAAAACCTAAAATATTTAAAGCCCTGGTATCTTGACCTGACCAAATAAACTGTTTCTCGTTCCCTTTCACAAGTATGTGGTTTTAGGGAATTCAGTGCCATGACTCTTCTAAAAAAAGGCTAAACTCTCATTCAGCATGCTCAAAACCTTTTAAGATAAACACTCACCAGAGAAAAATTGTTTCTCATGTGTAGCAGGTAAAGAAAAGGAGCAGCTTCTGTTACAAAAATTGGTGACACTTATGAGATTTGCTTTGGGAAATACTGAAGTCTGGTATATGCTTACTAGTGTGGCATGCATGGAGGCTTTATCCAAAATGTTTTTGGCCAAGCAGAAATTTTGGTTTTACCTGACCCAATATATTTCTAAGATATAATGAAATAGAATTTGGGTCATAAAAATCACCATTTGGCTAAAGTTTAGAAGAAGTTCAGAAAGAAAGGGTTGAGTTATGTGGGCTCAAAGGTGGCCTCTCATGATAGTAAATATACTTTGGGGCTTTAGGAAGTTGTTTAAACTCTCCAAGCCATAGTGTCATCATGCTATAATAAAAGGCTGTTACTGTCATCCCTATGGTGGTGATGTGGCAGTACAGAGCACCTGGGCTATCCTGGGATCACTCTCCACAGAGACTGTGTATTGAGTATCCTCTCTGCAGGACCTTATCTGTGCAAGGCTCCTCTCTTTTGAAGATAGCGCTTTTTTTTTTTTAATGAGTAATTTTAGTTATCAATACATTTCAGATACCTGGCAAGAAGTACAAAATCAACCTGAACGTCACTGTTTATGTTAAAAGCTCAGAGAAGAAACTCAAATTTGATATAGGTGTCCACAGTAGGATGTTCAGCAAAATTCATTCCTCTTCATTAGTTGGAATCCATCTCATTATTGTGCTGTGGGCCTAAAAAGTGTCCACTGCCTCCTCTGGTAATTGTTTTCAGAAAGTTCTGTTTCTTTCTTGCTTGCTTGCTTATTTATTTATTTATTTATTTATTTATTTATTTATTTTCTGTCCAGAGCATTGAACTCAGGGGCCCACTGGGTTCAACGAACCTAATGAGCCACATAGCCAGCCTGTTTTATTTTGAGACAGGGTCTCGCACTAAGTTGCTTAGGGCCTTGCTAAGTTCCTGAGGCTGGCTTTGAACTCACGATCCTCAGCCTTCCAAGCTGAAATTCTGTCACATCACCACCATAGGGATGACAATAACAGCCTTTTATTATAGCATGATGACACTATGGCTTGGAGAGTTTAAACAACTTCCTAAAGCCCCAGGAAAATGCTCCTCAGCTTCTTACCTGGCATCCTGAATGGTAGATACTTTACCAGAGCACAGGGCTCCTTACTATCCATGGAACCTGTCATTTTTACTGTGAATTAGAGTAATATGCTCTTTTGTTTTAACAAATGAAATAACCACTGACACTTTGAACTCAAGTGTTCAATTCCCTCTTGCAAAGGAACACAAAGACAAGGGGAATATTATAGAAAGGCAAACGGGGATCACAAGAGTGAATAGAAATAAAAATCTTATAAAATAGAAAACGAAATGAGTCTTATAAATGCTATGCTTACAGTGAAGTCCTTTGTATTTACAAAATGAGGACCACATTTTGTTTTAAACCACATTTTCTGTTAAGGAAATATAATCACTGCCACAAGTCATAATGTCCATATATTAAAACATAAATCAATGTAAGCTATAGCTGATTTTAAGACTGCATAGGAATTTCTTCTCTTGAGTTCCCAAAGAGAACATAATGTGTAAGGACTTCAGAGTTCTCACTCTACTAGCTCTATGAAGCAATAACATTCATAGAGACATTTGTCATAATATTCTTTAACTATGATCAGATTGATACCAAATCTCAAGTCTCGAAGTTACTCTGCTGTAGCAACAAGAAAGGCCTTAGCGCCAAGTACTTTTAGGCTTGTGATTCCTGCTAAGACTAAGCAATCAGAGTCCGACCAGGCCTGAGGGTTAGCAAAGAGTCCTGTGAAAAATGAAGAGATCTGGAGCCTGAACCGACCAAGGCGAGAACATTTCTCCTGTAAGAGAAGAAGGAGCAATGGAAGTAGGTTGGACTTTGCTGAAGGATTTTAGCGGAAGTTCCTTCAGTTAGAAGAAGCTTAATTTCTTTTGGCTGGCTCTGGTCAGTGGGCCACCTAGCCTCTGTAAAAGTATTTTAACTGTTGTTTGTGTCAAGCCTTTATTCCAAGCGCCGGACTTTCACGAAGTAATCTTACCTCGCATATTTGCTTTATGTATGTGTATCCCTGGCTAGTTACTAGTGTATATACGAAATTCTGTTAGTGCGTTCCTCCCTCCGTACTCATGCATTCACTCAACAAACATTTATTGAGGCTCTTCTCTGTCCCAGGAATTGGTTGCTTTGTTTCAGACGATTTCGAGGGTTCTTGATGAGATCTTAAGGACCCTCGGACTTCAGAGAGCCACTTCAGACGTCTCGCACTCCTGCCAGCCGGCGAGGATGAGAACACCTTCGCTGCTAGGCCAGCTTCCGCTAAGATTCCCGGGTTAGGGTGCGGAGGGGGAGTTGGAGACCAGAATAAAGGGCATCTTCTCCATCCGTACCACTACTCAAACTTGGCTCCTGGGTTCAGCCAGTTCGTCCCGAGCTGGTACAAGTTTGCTTAGTAAACTGAAAGAAGGGAAGGGAAGACGGGGACCTTACACACGTTTGGCTGGTTCCATGAAGGCTGACCCCTCTACCTAGCCATGTAAATTAGAGTGGACCAGGTACGAAGGGGAAGCGCAGGGGACCCTCCACTCAGAAATTAACTCCCAAGTACTCGCGCTTCCCTCCTGCTCGCCGCCCGCCTCCCGCAGGAGCGCTCCGTCCTATAGGGCCACAGCCATCCACTACCACCTCCTGGTCGCAGCCTGCTTTCGATCCTTGCGCGAGTGCTTCCTCCCTCTGGGCATTCTCCTCCTCCTCCGCTCCTCCCGATCCCTCCTCTTCTGCCTGGTCCCTCCTCCTCTCGCCCAGCCTCCCCACACCCCGGCCGGCGCAAGCTAGACGTCTGGGCAGCTCCCAGCGCAGCGCTGCAGCCTCCGCCTCCTGCACGGTGTGCGCGCCCGCGGCCAGGGCGGCCTGAACAAGTCTTGGCGGCTGCCGCCGCCCAGACCGGACGACAAGCCACCTAGGCGTCTGCCGGAGTCTCCGCCTCATCGCCGCCACCACCTCGGACGGCAGTCTGACTCAGTCCGGGAATAATTGCGGAGAACTGGAGCCACCTCCTCGGGGGCAGCAATGCGACCCTCCAGGACCGCAGGACCCGCGCTGCTGGTGCTACTAGCTGCGCTGGTATGGGCGAGTTGTGCGTTGGAGGAAAAGAAAGGTAAGGGCGTGCCCCTCGACCCGCCGCACCACTCTCCAGAGCGCGCTTCTTGACCCGCAGTCAGCCCCGCCCGCGCACCGGCGCACCGGCTCCGCGTCCCGAGCCGCCCGCCCGCCCCTCCTTTCCTGTTTCCTTGAGGATCAGCTGCGCTTCTGGCTGGGACCGTGGGAGGAACTGGACGTTTCTTTTCTGGGCTGGGCGAGTCTGCTAGGACCGGAGGAAGGGAGACGCAGGGCTCAGGGCGGCGGGGCTGCGAGCGGGTTCTGGGAACCGCCGCTGGGAGCGCCTACGTACCCGACAGATCCCAACTTACTTTTATCACTTTCTTGCCCTCCTGCGCTGGGTCGGCGTCTGCGGGCGAAAACTTGGTGCGGGGTAGACGCCTGTCGTTGCAGCACGTGTGCCCGGCACTGTCCACTGGAGGGCCGTGGTGACGCTGTAGGGCGCTTACATCAGGGCTGGCGGGTCCCATCAGCTGAGTCCTAGGGACTTAGGGAGCTGAGAAAGGACCTCTAGGGTAGGGGACTTCCCGAGCGTACCCTCTGCAGCTCCTTCCTCCTCCTCATTCTTGGGGTTAATCCGCACGCCTCCCGACCTAGCGACCCGGCCCTTCACGCTGATCTCTGCAAACCCATTTCCCGGGTATGGAGTTGCATCAGTGACCTGGGAGGCTAGAACTCCTCTTCGCCTCAGCGAGCAGGAGGGAAGGCGTGGTGCTGGTAGTTTCCTTCTCTGAAGAGCAGTGAGGAGGATCCGATCCGCGCCCTCGCCCTATGGGAGAGGACCCCAGCCACAAACCCGGTGCGCGCGGCTGGGGGACCAGGGCTCGCTGCCTGACTGAAGCTCCTTTTCTGATGCCCATTCCTAAGACCCCTAGGGTGTCTTTAAGGTGGCTGCTTGCCGGTACTCCAGAGGTTTGCCCATGACCTGTAGTGCTTCGACTGCATCTCAAGGCTTTACAGTGGACCTGGACCAAGATGTATGGCTGGCCGCTGTGCAACACCTGAGTCCTTATGCCAAACTCCCTAGGCGCGAACTCATCCCGCTGGCTATCCGAGAGCCCTGTTTCAAAATGGGGCTCACAGCAAACTTTTCTTCTCATTATCCCAAGATTTAATCTTTTGGATGTTTCTTTTTGCCTTTTTGGAGAGTTTGACATTAGGCCAACTAAAATATTAAACTTAATTGGAAAAAAAATAATAAAGGATTGATGTCCATGGTTCACTTGTATGCCAAATGTCCAGACGGAACATGAGCAAGTTTGGCTTCGTGACTGCCGACCATAAACCCACTTGACACGAGAAACATGCCTCAGAAGGTTTAATTGCACAATTTCAAAATAGGCTTAGGTTCCAAGAATCAGGTCCCTGCTTGCTGTTGATGTCATTGGCATGGGGAGTTGGGGCTTTGGTGCTGAGAGGGTTTGTTGGAGGAGGAGTAAAGCATAAAAGAGTGGTTTCTAACTTTGCTAAGTAGAGCACTCACCTGAGATTTGGGGGTGAGGGGAGTCGACTTCCCACCCTGGACATTCTGATTTAATTGGTTGGGGGTGAGAGGAGGCTATAGGATTTTTCAAAGCCCTTCAGGTTGGGGAGCCAGGTTTGAGAATCTTGGGCATAGAAGAAAGATTGGTAGTCTCCAGGGAGATTTACCTGCCAAAGTAAAGAGCTCCTTTGGAACATCTGGAGTTTTAACAATCTTGCAAAATACAGGCAAAGGGGAAAAGACAGGGTGTGGTTTCAATAATAAAGGATTAGTCTTTTTTACTAAAGGAGCCAGTGGATGGTTTTCGCCCCCCTACATTAGCCTGGAGGGCTCCCCTCCTCCCTGCTTGTGATGGCTAGGACAGTGGTCTGGAGTGCTCCTGAGATACTAGAGTTCTCTTAATAAAGTAAGGTCTCTCTATCTCTGACAAAGGGACCCTCTTTATTTTAAATTAAGCTCTTAGAGCCCCTGCAGAGCTCCAGAAACCTGCCCAGCTCTTTGATGTCACTCTTTGAACACTAGGATTAATGATTGGAGATTTGTGTCTGAGAAAAATAGAAATGCCACTGAATTTTCCTGTTTGTTCTGTATTCACTTAAAACAGAATGCTCCTGAGAAGTAAACAAATTTCATTCCACTAAAGCCACATTCAAAAGACCACATTTTTAAGGAACAAATTATTAAAGTATGAGATGAAATCTTTCTATACAGGATCTATTAATTTTGTTCAAGAAGATTTATTGGTTTTAGTGAGTTTTTTGTTGTTGTTACTGTTATTGTTGTTCTAAGATATGGTGTCATCTGTACTAGTTGCTTTCAGACCTAAGACCAGACAAGGTTGTAAGTGTCTTGTTAATCTTCACTTCAAGTGAGGTGAGTGCCCTATTTATGGGGAAACTGAGGTACAGAGGAGTAAAGTTATGAAATGATTTTTCTACAGCTAGTAAGAGGCAGAATCAAGATTCAAATTCCCATAACTCTAAACTGCCTGGTTTCAGGAGAGCCAGGTCAGATGTGTGTGTGAATGACTAATGCCGGATGATGAAGAGGAAAGGTACCAGGGAACAAGCTTATTAAGATGGGCCCCTTGTCTGAAGTTTCCAACAGACGCCTGCTTGTTCAGTGGTCTACACTCCTGCTCAGGGCTTCTCAGTCCTTGTTCTGGCTGCCTTTCATTGGGGCAGCTCAGTGGCCAAATCAAAGAGTGAACCAACATGGAGATTGCTTCAGAGATGTTGAGCAAGACACTCTTGCAAAATGGGCAGGTAAAGGTGCTGCTCTGGAAGAGATCCGTGGTGCATTCCAAGGACAGGAGGTATTCTCAATGAAGTGAGCTTTGTAGAAATGAGCTTGCCTTGGCCCTACTTCTGAGAACACTCTGATTCAGGAAGTCTGGACTATATTACAGGGGGGAAGAAAAAGCAGGAATTTTGATGGTATCTAAGGCGAAGAACCACTACCCCTCCTTTCTGTAGAGGAATTAAATCTTGGGAAGTCCAAGAGGTCTATTTTCTCATTCCAGCTCTGCGTGAAGGTGGACACTTTGAAGCTCCAAGATTCTGAGTTCTAATTTCTGAATTCAGTGAATATGTATTGAGTGCACAGAATATGCTAGACATTGTGAATTAAAAGGGGGATAGTCTTAATGGTTTTTACTATTGTCCAGAGAAGTGTGATTCTTTAAGCCACTAATTAAATATTAGTAACTTGCTTTTCAAACCGCAAAAGGAGACAACCAGCCTGAGTGTCTGTAGCTATGAGTATATCCACACTGATGTAGCACAGACTAGCAGATATTGTTCCAATATGGTAACACTGCTCCAATAGACTTTAAACAGTCATTCTGGTTTCACATATTTAATTTCATAATCCATAATTTTTCAAAATCTGTTGTACTGCAAAATTACTCTTGGTCCATGTGACAGCACTAACAAGTTTTGAAATGTTTTTAGAGGTAGTATCAATAAAATGAAAGATGCTGTTTAAAAAGAAAATGCTCTTTTGTTTTTTCTCTGAGGTAAGCTTTGGGACTATCAGCTAGTGTCTGAAACTTTTTTGACAATAGTGAATAACTCTAATATTAAAGGTAATTAATGATTATGAGGAATTAAGGTAAGGTAGCCTCAGGCTTGTGTCCCTGGTCCTGAAATGGGGATGGGATCAGAATGTTCAGGACATTCAGCCTGTCCAAGGAAGGACCCACCTACCGAGTAATTTGACTCTTGCCATGTTGCTTACTGTGAATATGGTATATATGTGTGTGTGTGTGTTTAATGTTGACTTAGTACTATAGATGGTCTTACTTATAGTTAGGCTTTACTAATAAGAAAAGTTCAAGGTTTTAAAATATACACTACCCATACATTGTTTCCCTGTGAACACATTTTCCCCTGTAAAACAATTTTAAAAGCTAGATTCTGTCCTCAAGTTCATAATAAGTTCATTCTGTTTTACTTTCTTCTGTCATTAATGGACATTTGAAATTATGGTAAGAAACATTTTAATTCTCAGTTAATTATTACTGGTTTATTCTTTAACAATTGGCACATACAGAATAGAGTATAGCTCTTGGCTTGTTCTCCTAGCCTATCCCCATTGGTCATCACAGTGTTTTCTCACACCTTCTTTTCATTTTGTTTTGAAAAGGTTGCCTTTTCTAAGAAAATTCCACAGTTGGACCCTATGGACAATGTCTCAAGATTGTCAATTCTCATGTCCGTGGGCACAGTCAATTAGATGGAGCTCAAGAATTATTAAGAATTATTTAAATAATTGGTTTGACTGTGATTTTCACTTTTCATGGACATTTGGTTAAGCTTCCTTTATATTCCCCCTCCCTCTCATCTAGGAAGTTTGCAAAGCCAGCTGGGAGGCTAATTGAATGCAGCCAGTAGTGGAGAAACCAAGTGCTGGATTTATCATTTTAATCTCAGAAGGCACTGAAAGGCATTGAAGTACAGTATCAGATGTCTGGCCCTGTTGACTGACCATCTGTGAATTGCATATGCTTAGAATGAATTTTACTCATAGCAATTTCAGCAGCTTGCTTTAGAAAGTAATATGTGAAAGCTCTCACAGAGGATAGAATGTCTCTCTTTCCTCTAAGTAATATCATTCTGGTGGATTCTCAGAGACAGACCCAGAGTCCAAGTGTCCTTTCTGATGATATCGGCAGCTTCACATTTACTAGACATTGGAATTACAGTTTAGGGGACTAATTGTACATCACCCTAAATATAACCACGATTACACTCTTGCCAGTGGACCAGCATATATGGCCCTATTTAGTATAAATAATTATGTAAGTTAACCACCATTGTTTGTCCTTTGATCATAAGGGCGAATATTGGCCACTATTATTACATGGGCTTTTACTTGTTTTTTTTTTTTCCTTTGTTTTTGGGCCATGGTGAGCAATTCACACTGTTCTATCCATATTGAGATGTAAGAATGAATCACAGTTGATACTTGCCCATAAGTACTTGGAAGTCAGCAGAAGAGTGAGTATGCAACAATATCACAGGAGCAATGGTAGAGTTCTGCACAGGATAAAAGATGTCTTTCAAGATTAATTGCTTATAATTCTACCTGGAGACCAGGAATATTCCCAATGAAAGGAATTACACATTTGAGCCTTCAAAGAGCCATTGGTTATATGGTTATTTCTTTGGAGAGTAGGATATAAGAGAAGTGGTAGTTGGAGCAAAGTTCTTGAGAGCACTGGTAATTAAATATGACAGGAAGAGAAGGAATAAATGATGAGGCTACATATTGTCTCTCTGTGGCTTTGGATCTCATCCTGTATGAAAGAGAAATCACTAGGGAATTTTAAACCAGGAACTCACATGAAGAAGCTAATATTTTACAAAGATGGGGAATAGTCTGTAGGGGCCATGGTAGAAACGGGGAGATCAGGGGCTTTGGCAGTCAGGAGATAAAGCCAGAGCAGGGAGATGCAGAACAAGTGATTGGGGTCTAATCTGAAGGCAGAACTGATTGGCATCTATATGTAGGAAGTATAAGAAATAGAGAATGTCAGGGTGACACAGACTTCTGACTTGGAAGCCTGGGTAGATAATGAATCCATTCTCAGAGGCTGAGAAGTTGGGGAGACCAAAGTAAAGGGGTGTGACTTCAGCTTTTAGGTATGTCATACTTGAAATGCTGAACTAGAAGCATCCATGAGGCAATAGAATATATAAGTCTGGAGCCCAAGTGAGCAATATTGCCTTGAATTGTCATTGTATTTGGTACTTCTACTTGTACTGCAGTTATTGTCTTTGATCATGGAAAGATCTGACTCCAGGACAACCTCCTGTTTCCATCTGTCAGATATTTGCAATCGGCATCAATATTGAGCCACACTGGGATTCTGGATTACTAACTTCTTTCTAGACTAGGCTGCTGATTAGCTGCAGTTATTTGTGACTGATAAATAGTACATCATACATTTAAGCATATTGGAAATCACACTATTTGTAAATCCTCAGCAGATGAGGCTCTCCTTTTCTTATTTCAGTCAGCATCATCCAGGTGCTGGGGCACATACCTGTAATTCCAGCAATTTAGGAAGCTGAGGTAGGAGGAGGGCAAGTTTGAGACCAGCCTCTACCACTTAGTGAGACCCTATCTCAAAATAAAAAATAAAAAGAGCTTGGGATATAGCTCAGTGGTAAAGGTCCTCGGGATTCAGTCACTAGTACAACAACAACAATAACAAAAAGTTAGCATCAGATTACTTGGTTTTGTAAATCAGTGACTGAACCAAAAAGAGTAGCACATG